GTATAGTGAGGGTCTGCTGGGAACGTCTGGCGGAATCCCCTGTCAGGAGGAGTTTCAACTCCTACCTCCGGCAGAACTTCTCCCAAGTCCCGGGGGAGACGGGGGACATTGAGTCTGAATAGGCCATGTTCCGCGCCTCCATTGTGGAGTGCGGCTGACCGGAGCTGTGGCTGTAAGGTAGTCGGTGCCTGTCGCGGCGGCAATCCCCGAACCCGCTGGTGGACACCAGTGGTGAGGGATGCCGTCAAGCTGAAGAAGGAGTCCCGGGCCTTTTTAGCCTGTGGGACTCCAGAGGCAGCTGACAGGTACCAGCAGGCCAAGCGGGGTGCGGCTTCGGCGGTCGCTGAGGCAAAAACTCGGGTATGGGAGGAGTTTGGCGAGGCCATGGAAAACGACTTCCGGACGGCTTCGAGGCGATTCTGGTCCACCATCCGGCGGCTCCGGGCGGGAAAGCGGTGCCACATCAACACTGTTCATGGTGGGGATGGGGTGCTGCTGACCTCAACTCGGGATGTTTTGGGTCGGTGGAGGGAGTACTTCGAAGACCTCCTCAATCCCACCGACACGTCTTCCAATGTGGAAGTAGAGTATGGGGACTTGGGTGTGGACTCCCCTATCTCTGGGGCGGAGGTCGCTGAGGTGGTTAAAAAGCTCCTCGGTGGCCCGAGGGTGGATGAGGGTGGATGAGATCCGCCTGGAGTTCCTTAAGGCTCTGGATGCTGTGGGGCTGTCCTGGTTGACACGCATCTGCAGCATCGCGTGGACATCGGGGGCAGTGCCTCTGGACTGGCAGACTGGGGTGGTGGTCCCCCTCTTTAAGAAGGGGGACCAGAGGGTGTGCTCCAACTATAGGGGGATCACACTCCTCAGCCTCCCTGGTAAGGTCTATTTGGGGGTTCTGGAGAGGAGGGTCCGCCGGATTGTCGAACCTCAGATTCAGGAGGAGCAGTGTGGTTTTCGCCCTGGCCGTGGAACAGTGGACCAGCTCTATACTCTCCGCAGGGTTCTGGAGGGTTCATGGGAGTTTGCCTAACCAGTCTACATGGGTTTTGTGGACTTGGAAAAGGCATTCGACCGTGTCCCTCGGGGAGTCCTGTGGGGGGTGCTCTGGGAGTATGGGGTGCCGGGGTTCCTTTTAAGGGCTGTTCGGTCCCTGTACGACCGGTGCCAGAGCTTGGCCGCATGGGCGGCAATAAGTCGGACTTGTTTCCGGTGAGGGCTGCCCTTTGTCACCGATTCTTTTCATAGTTTTTATGGACAGAATTTCTAGGTGCAGCCAGGGCGTTGAGGGTGTCCGGTTTGGTGACCTCAGGATCAGGTCTCTGCTTTTTGCAGATGATGTGGTTCTGTTGGCCTCATCGGACCGTGACCTTCGGCTCTCACTGGGACAGTTCGCAGCGTGTGAAGCGGCTGGGATGAAAATCAGCACCTCCAAATCCGAGACCATGGTCCTCAGCCGGAAAAGGGTGGAATGCTCTCTCCGGGTCGGGGATGGGGTCCTCCCCCAAGTGGATGAGTTTAAGTACCTCGGGGTCTTGTTCACGAGTGGGGGGACGATGGAGCGGGAGATCGACAGGCGGATCGGTGCGGCGTCCGCAGTGATGCGGGCGCTGCATCGGTCTGTCATGGTGAAGAAGGAGCTGAGCCAAAAGGCAAAGCTCTCAATTTACCAGTCGATCTACGTTCCTACCCTCACCTATGGTCACGAGCTGTGGGTAGTGACCGAAAGAACGAGATCGCGAGTGCAAGCGGCCGAAATGAGTTTCCTCCGCAGGGTGGCTAGGCTCTTCCTTAGAGATAGGGTGAGGAGCTCGGTCATTCGGGAGGGACTCAGAGTAGAGCTGCTGCTCCTCCACATCGAGAGGAGCCAGATGAGGTGGCTCGGGCATCTGATTAGGATGCCTCCTTGGTGAGGTGTTCCAGGCATGTCCCACTGGGAGGAGGCCCCGGGGAAGACCCAGGACACGCTGGAGGGATTATGTCTCTCGGCTGGCCTGGGAACGCCTTGGGATCCCCCCAGAGGAGCTGGAGGAAGTGGCCGGGGAGAGGGAAGTCTGGGTTTCCCTGCTGAGACTGCTGCCCCCGCGATCCGACCTCAGATAAGCGGAAGTAAATGGATGGATGGATGGATGGATGCAACAACAGATGTCACTTTCTCACCAAGCTGCTTGCTGATGGTCATGTAGCTCATTCTATATTTGTGAAGGTCAACAGTCTCTGATGTCCTTAGACAGCTCTTTGTTATTTCCCAAGGTAATAAGGTTGAAGATGTAGACAGGTTGGTGACCCAAGAATACTGTTTAACAAAGTAATGCCATTAAATGACAATGCTGGTTTAGTATCTGTTAATACTTAATTAAGTACTACTTGTGTTGTGTTAGTGCACATGTACTTGACCTAATTTCTTGCTGGCTTGTAGGGGATCAAATAATTATTTCCCTAGATAAATAATTAATTCATTTGTACCTGTTACATAATGATTTTTTTCTTGTCTGTTTTGTTGAAAATCTCTCTTCTGGCGTTAAAATAGACCTACCAGTGGAATTACTTCTCATTTTTTTTTATAAATGGGTCTAGTTAGTAATTCCACAGGGGGTCAAATAATTATTTCCCTAACTGTAGATGAACAATTCGTCATGCAGACATAGCATAATGGCCTGTTGATGTATTCTTGAACATGGATGGCAAATTTTGCCTATTGACAAAAATACAGATTTATAAGCATTGTAATTTTTTAAGATATATTATAGATTGGACATAACTCTGATTGGCTAAATTTCTGTGTTATATTGGATACTTAGCCTGCTTTGGAACTCATGTTAGGATGTGTCATCAGAGTTATTCTGAAAGCACAGTATTTAAAAGAGTAAACCCCATGCATGGATACAGGGGTACAGTGGCTTGGTGGATAGCACTGTTGCTTTTCTCCTCTGTGGCGAGAGGCTTGAATCGCACTTTTGGAGAAAATTATATTTCATAAGACACTTGGCGATCTGACAAAACATCCTTTCTGATAAGATGTCTGATAAGAATACATGGGTAAAGGGAACATTTTGAAGCTATGTAGGCATTTTAGCAAGTTAAAGCTAAGTAGCAAACTGAGAACGACAGCTCAGTTGTCTTGAATCCTGGCGATCTAAACTTTCAAGCTTTCATTACTGCGTGACTAGATATATGTCGAAAGGGGTAGTGTTTGAAACATTGAAAGAGCGTTTCTCGGAACATCGTGGGTCTGGCTTGCCAGGCTAGTTACCATCCACGTAGAGGTAGGCTCTGGCTACCTGCTAATTGTGAAATAATGTTCTTGTGGAAAGGATGTTCGTGAATGATTCAGAGCATGATGCATTTTGATTGGCATCCCTTATGGTCTTGTGAGGCCTATTTTTTCTGTTAAACAATTGTAGCTGAAAATAAACAGCCAAATTACAACCAATAGTTTCAGTCACTGAGGGCAAAATAGGCCCAATGATTTATGCTATTTAATATTTACGATAGTTAGATTTTTTTCCTTTGCTAGATTCCAGAAACAGCTTCAGTGAAGCAAGTCCTGCGCAAGAAGATGGACATAATTTTATTTATTTATTTTATTTAAATGTGTGTGTACTTCTAAGTTCAAACATGTTTGGTTGGCAAAATAAATGTTTTAAATTCAAATCAGAGCGTCTTCCGTGTCTGGAATGGATGTAGAGTATTCTTGAGTCTATAAGGTAACAATAATATAATAATAAGAACCTTGTTTTAATTGTGAAATGTGTTTGACTAAAACAAAATTTAGTTTTTGTCTATTCTACTAGGTACTTGTACTATATTGACTAGGTAAAATAGAATTGCATCACTAAAATAAAGAGACTAAAATACAATTATCATTGACTAAAACTAGACTAAAATGTCATCAGTTTTCGTTGACTAAAACTAGACTAAAATAGTCATGGATAATTCTGACTAAAATATGACTAAAATGCTCAGACTTTTAGTCGACTGAAACTTGACTAGACTAAAATGAGTATGGACGTGACTAAAACTAATAATAACTAAAATGACAGCTTGATGCAAAGACTAGACTAAAACTAAAATTAAGACAGGCCACCAAAAACAACTATACTTTCAAGCAAGGTTTTTACAAAGGTAGTTCTTAGTCTCATATAAATGGAAAAAAAAAAAAAACAGTTCTACCTTCAGCAAATTTCTTTACTTCTCTTTAGCTAGAAAGGAAATCATTAGTCATTAATATGCACTTTTCAGATTTCAGACACAGGGAAGCTGAAGCTGTGCTTTCCCACATCAGTGGAAACAAAATTGATATTTGTTGTTACCTGTATAAGGATTATTTAATTTATTATAAATGAAATTGTCATATTATATATTGTATATTATCTGATATTATTAGTAGTAGTATTTCTATTAGTACAGTAAAATTCTTTATCTGAAATGTCATTGACTTGACTGAATAATTTAGAGAGAATTTAAATATGACAAGGAGGAAAGTGACAGAGAAATGCATGGTTAAAAGGCAGGTAATGTGAGCCGGGTCAGGTATCTTTAGGGCTTTCCGTGAAGGTGTTCACCCAGCTCTGTGTACGTGCCCTGGCCTCTTCCCAGCTGTAGAGTGGCCGGTAGCCAAAGTGCCGCTCAGCCTTATCAGAGTACACCGTGAAAGAGGTGCAGGCCACAGCCAGCGTGTAGCGGTTCAGCAGCGGCGTGTAGAGCCACATGGGCTTCAGGGACCAATGCAGCAGGTCATTGAGGCATGCCACCAGCCACAGGATCCACACGGGCACCCACACCTCGCGGAAGCGGAACTGTGACAAGAACTGCATGTTGAAGTCCTCGTAGCTCTTGTAGGGTGAGTCGTCGTAACAGAAGTACACTTCCCCTCCCAGCCTGTGGGGGTGCTGTCGCAGCTTGCGGGCTGCCAGCACATGCATCCAGGCCACGTTGCCTAAAAGTGGTGGAAATAGGCATCAGTGGAGCACATTGGACAACACTGGACACTTCATATCATGTGACTCAGTGGTGTGCATAAGCAAGTACACCTATCCAAGTGTAACTGATTCCTAGAAACCACATGAATACAGTGAACTCAAATATTTATAACTATTTCTATTATAACTTATGGGGCAATCCATATATCCATATCATCTTAAAGTACCCACTTCAGCATGATAATATTTTAAACACTGTTTACTTTAACTGCCAAACAGTTAATGATGTAATAAATTTGAATTTGTATGCTTATATGCTGATGTTTTTGCAGTAGCATACATTACATTTCATACTGTGATAGGGTTAGGAATAAAAAACAATATAGCAAAGAAAAAATAATGAGAAATATTTAGAATATTTTTCTAATGTGCTTCACCTACAATGGCATTTGTCATGCCTGGTCTTCTTCACTCAATATGGGTACCAATATCTATGGCTTGTTAAGCCAAGAATTTGGGTATGGTGCTTGAATCCCAAGGTATAACCATAATCATCGTGTTTATAATGTATTGTGTAGGGGGTCTCTGATGCTGTAGTATGTTAATCACTACAGTAAAATGTGGAGCTGTATGAATAGTTAATCACACAGTGGTTCTGATAAAAAGTTCAAAAATAGTTGCAGCTGTATTTGTGTGCAGATGGAGAGACAGTGTTCTATGTGAGCGCTAAACAGAGTTCACACCTGCGTAAACACGGCCGTGCTCAGTGTCACGTGGAACACCCCGGATCACCCAGCCCCCAGTGCGCACTCCCATCTGGTAAAAATCCCTCATTAGCTGGTGCTGCTCCCCGTAGATCCCAGTGGGCCGCAGGGCACAGGTCCACAGGCAAAGATCTCCTTTCCCCTGCAGTCGGGAGGGCAAAGAAAAGCCGGCCTATGGGTTTAGACTCTGCACTACTACAAAATATTACAAAGCAGATTGATGTGCATATAAATGGTATCGAAGACTTATAGGTTCCATAGATTATTCTAATCTTTTATTTCTTTGTGGGTTACCTGATAACTGGATTGAGTGTAACGCGTTTGAAGGTGGACAAAACAAAATCGAACATGTTGTGAACAATCTGTAGCATACTTAAAAGGTCGTCGCCACCTTGTTCATTTTATGTCATGACACAACCCTAGAAGGTGTAGAATGTTTTCAATGTAGCAGACGTGCATACAGATCACAGATAAACATATTGTAATGAGTTGTTTCAATAAAGGAGATGATAGTTCTTTTAAAAATGGAAGCTGGTTTCTGTATCAGTAATTACTATTGGTTTAATACTAGAGGCAGCACAGACAGGGAAGCCAACAATTTACATGACACTCAATGTTACACGCTAATGAAACACATGCATTTCATGGTAAATATTACATGGTTACGACATTTACTATCAACATAAATGCACAAATACATATATTTATTTACCCTATTTTAAGATATACATGGTGCAGTGCAAACTATGCTGGTAACTGAATAATTAGTCCTGCTGACCAACCCCCAATGTCACATAATATCAGGAAATCGTGGTCAGTGGGTGAGATCAGAACAAACAAAGCAGTTTTCCCTGGGGACCCTACACAGTGTGGCCAAATTGTGCTCAGCTTGGTAATTACGGGTCATACAATGTTGTTTTGCTAAAATGTGTATTCCGTTGATTTCGTCTGAAGTATACAGCCACCATAAGGAAAGTGGAGATCATTATTTGTGCTGCTGAAGACTGAAATGTCACTGTCTGTCTACCTTTTTGCCGTTGGCCTCCAGCACCAATCTCTCAGCTTCCGCCTTACTCTTGGGATAGGGCATTTCATGGCATACTTCATACAAGGAGTCCTCGTTCCCTCTGGGGATCAGAGCAAATCCATTTCATGATTTAGCTCTAGTGGTAGAGATCAAGGGGGTTAACATCAAGTGACAACGTAATTGAGGGAGTATGCAGCTGGAAACAAAAAAGGACTGAAAGGAATGACATGTGCCAGACGGTATCTAAAGCCAGATACCAGTAAATGACGTGGCTGCAGGCCTGGGTTATGTACTGAATGAAAACAAAGACAATCAAAGAGGGGACTGGGCCTGTGGGCAACAGCAGGAACAAAACAGGAAGTGCTGCAGCCAGCTGGTATGCAGACAAAGAATATGTGGTGAATACAGAGCCCTCTTTGAAACTGCAGTCACTGAGTCACTCAGGAAAAATTTAGGGCACATCATTCAACTTGATAATGCTGCAGATTTCGCTGCCATAAGTAACCATACACACACAGCTAAAATCGACACATCTTCTGACTACTTATGAAGCACTGAGTTAATAGTTATCTTAGATAAAATAGCACCAGGCCATGCATAGACAGAACAGCATGCATAGATCTAACAGCACCAGAAACCAGAGTTGTTAACCAGTTGTATGGCTAAACTAGTCTAGATGGTTGTGCTACTTTACATATGCTCTAGCCTTAAAATTTAGTGATTAAGTGTCATTGTTGACACACCACAACAAAATGTGTTCTTTGCATTTAACCCATATGTGACAATGTAACAGAGCAGGGGGCAGCTAATTCAGCACCCAGGGAGCTGTACCTTGCTCAGGGTACCTCAGTGGTGCCTTGTTGGTTAGGGATTTGAACCTGCAATCTTTCAATTATGACTGCACTTCCCTAACCATTAAGCCACCACAGCCTTATGTGGCCATTGCTTGTTATCAGAATGCTTTGGTGCCCCTAATGACCAGAGGCACTGACATTCCATATAATTGGTCCTTCAGCATCTCAGATCACTTATGAAGGGCTTTCAGTACAACAGCACAAGAGTCTGCAATAAAGTGCAGAGTAAAGGCTCAAGTCCTGAGACAAACTGCTACATGCTCTAAGAGTCCTTCATAGCCAGTGTCAGTGTCATTGCTGCTGTTTGCTGGAGGGAGGAAATATTGGGGTGAAGGGGGCTGGTAAGCTGAACAAACTGTGATAGGACTGGGTCTGCACTCCTTGGATGTGCTGATGGAGGGGGTGCCCAACCTGTATTCCCTTCTGGATAATAAGACCCATCCAGTCAACAAAGAGCACATACTTCTTAGGAATGCCTTCAGTCACAAGCTAATCTCCCCAGATGCACAGCTAAATGCTTCAGATTCTCCTTAAGGCCAGTGCAGTATAATCTCTCCAGGTCCCTAACCTGACACAGCTTGAAGGTTGCTAACCCAATTTGCTTTGACTTAGTGTTGAATTGTTGTATGTGCACTAAATTAAGCAGCGACCCATGTTGTACCACCTACATTGTACTCCACACATCATTGTTACTGGCACATCCCCTAACTAGTCCCACTCCAGATCCGGTATCCAGCTCAGCAACCCTCACCTCATCCTTATCGCCGGTCTTTGGAAATCACCTGGTACCAATTTCCAGTTTCATTATATTTATATTGCTCTTTCCTGACACTGCTCTTAGACTATAGTTTGGAGTCGGTACTGCCCTGGTGTGTTCTCGACCTCCTGCTTGATTATCCTGTTTATGGATTCAGATTGTTGTTTTGGTTTTGGTTAATAAATTGCAATGGAAGATTTTGCAAGTGGACCCTGATCCGCTTCATTAGTTATATGTATTTGTTTGTATTATTAGTTTCTTTGCAGGTTGTATTGTATAAAGGGGCGGTCACACTAGAGCAAAAAATATTAGTGTCTCATTCACTTCCATTATAGTTGTGGGAGGTGAAATTATGATTCCTCACTTCTGGTAGCAGAGCAATTATGTGTTGAGTTCATCTTAATTGACTTTGACCTGCAACCAATCAGGTGTGGTATGGGTGGGACTGACCTTTCAATTTCACTGGCTGTGGGACAAAATGGAGCAACCAATTATTTTTATTTGTTGAATGCCAGAATATAAATTTGTAAACAGGAGAAAAGCTGCATGACTGGCAGGGAGCATTCAAGCAGGTCTCAAAGGTAAATGCATCACAGTGCATTTAATGACATTAATGACTAGTTAGTGTGCTTCACACCTGGCTTACTGGGTTAGAAGGCTGATATTACAATATGCATTTGTTACATTGTGTGCTACTAATTTCACCAATCCTGGTGAGTTACATGAGTAGTTTTAAATATGCATTTTAAAAGCAAACTATACATGACTTATTCTTTATTAACACCACTGCACCATCACTGTCTTAAAACAAAGCATCACATCCAGTACCATACGGACTTTTAACCAACGCTGCAAAGAGAACGCAATTTTTTCACTCCAGTGTGAGTGCACTTTTAGGAATTATTTATTTTTGTAATGTTGATGAACAAGCAAAATTCCCCACCATCCACGAGGGCAGTGGGTCCCAAAGTTTTAGGAAACTTATTAAGCCCCCCCCCCCCCCCCCCATTCAATCTAGACAGGTTCAGATTCAAATTTTTATTTGAACTACAACTCTCTTTTCTAATTGAGCGAAAGAAATGTAATTACAAAATACAAATGGTGCAATTTCACCACTGTGGGAGAAAAAAGAGCAATCAATTAAAAATAAAAGTCCAGCATAAGTTTGAAATTATGCAAATGCAGATTTAACTTTCCTGTTAATATTCATTGGCGTACACAAATTAAAGTTGGTCTCACGTTTACCGCATTTTGTTTTTAATGATAACCGCAGGTTTCAGCCTATACTATACTATAGCACAAAACAACACTAAATCATACCCATTAATTGATAGTCTCCCTGCACTTCATGTAGAAATTTTTAAACCTCGTTTTTCATGATATGGTTAGATTTTTTTTTGCCCGGCGCTGCAAAACGTCGTCACGCGTCACCATGTCAGATGGTACAAAACCTTGCAAGAGAAAGACGATTTAGGACAGATCGTACAGCACCACTCAGCCGGCTGAACAAACTGGAACAGCCTCCGTGACGACACAACTTTGCCCTTATTGGCTGAAGAACGTGTCGTTTGTATGACATTGGTATCCCAGGAAGTTCCGATGTGTTATCTATTTCTCCCGAATATCACGTAAAGCAGTGAGAACTGGTTTCCAGTTAATTTACCTGGTAAAATAAAGTTAAAATAGATTACATAAATGCTGTAATAGTACACGTACGGTAAGTTAGTGGTTCGTTTATTGTTAATTACTGTAATTAATGTAATCTGAGATTTTATTTTTAGGCCATATCGCCCAGCTCTATTCTCTATTACCCTGAATGAACCCCTGCATCTTTTCTCTGCAGCAACGCTAGTTGACCTGTATTAAGACATGGTTATACTCCTATCACTCTCAATGAGAAAGAAACACATTAACATACTTTGCATCACGCTATCCCTCTTTGGCTTTAAGTTACATAATTGTGAGTGCCACAAGGTTAAGTAAGCAGATACAAAGAGGACAAACAGGAAAGTGTAGGAAGTCTGTGTACAAAAGGCATAAAATCATAGAAACTAGAGGTGGTTCTACGTTTGTTACACTAGACTATGAGTCTTACCTGATAAACGGGTCTCCCTTGATGTTGGGCCCCACAACCTCCATGCTGCTTGTGTAAATGAGGTGCTGGATCCCAGATTTCATACATGCTTTGATGACATTTTCTGTTCCTGAGACACAGAGAAGGTTTAACATATGGAGCTGGCATAACTTCTTCCTGAATTATTTTGGTAACCCAGTCTCAATGCAGAGCAAAGGGACTGAACAAACTTGGTCTCATGATTCAGTTCATAGTGAACTCTAATTATAAGTAGGGAAACTATGGTGAAACCAGGGTGAGTAAGACTGTGGAGGGTAATGGCCAGTGTGGTACTGTTTAGTTATACATGCAATTCCATAGAGAAAGCTGTGATCTGAACTGGGTACAAGAATGGGAACAACTTAACCATTGGTAAGCGACTGCAAGGAAAGCTGGGTGACAGCTTCTCATGTCAAGGTTCACTGGTGTAGAAATTTTCAGCATTTCCAAAAAAAGAAATCTTTTTTTAAAGTTCCTTCCCCGTAGAGTTTCTCACATTGCCTTCCTCAAAATGTGTGAAAATGTGTGGTGTGTACATGCACACTTGACTAATTCTAGCACCCTCTGCACACACTAGCAAACAAGAGATGAAATGCAACAATAGATATATATTTCTTTTGAGTGATCATACATAAAACAACCAAACCAACCATCATACAATGAAGAATGCAGAAATGCTTTCATATGAGTAGTGTAGAAGACTAATTTCATTTAGTGCTTTGTTATATGGGTTTTAGTGATCAACTGTTGAAAATCTATATTTTCCTGGTTCCTACACACAGCATAATTGCTCCCAGTCTGTTCTTGAGAACATAATAAACACACATATGTATTCAATTACAATACAGTTTTGCTGGTTCTAAAACAAAAAAAAAAACTCTTATTTTCAGACAAATTGCTCCCAAAATTAAACAGCAGCACCGTGTGGAAGGAATGAAATGGCAGCTGTAGAAGACATTTGGTCTTGTGAACATAGTAACTCATAGTAACTCATAGTTACTGATCTTTTTCAAACTTTGCAGGTAGATTATAGGGGTGACAAACTGGAAGTAATGAAATTTTAAGGCAGATCACCCCGAAGTCAAAGCAATATGACAAAGTGATAGCAAAAAAATGGTAGGCAAAAACATTTAATCCCTTTAGCGTGACAACATACTGTATTTGAAAGATCTTTTTCAACCTTTGCAGACATGTTGTAATAGTGACCATATGGATGTGTTCAAATTTTGAGAGCAACTACACCAAAATTAAACCAGTACTGCATAGTGAGCAAACGAAGGGCAGCTCGGACACCTGATCTTGTCTTATCTATCTGATCCTTTCTAAACTTGCAGGCACGTTGCTTGGGTGCACCTGTTCAAAGATCTAGACTGGTTCAAATTTTAACACAAAGTTGAAGCAAAGACAGCAAAGAAAAAGATATAAGTGTATAATAGGCTTAACCTCATAAACAAGGGGGAGGGATGTTCTATGTATGTTTATCAGAGAACTCATCCCAGATCTTTTAATTGTGGACACGGTTATTTGGTTACTTCAGTTCTTCAAAGCCACAAGAGAATTGGATTCAAAAAGCTGGATTAAATCATCCACGATAATTGCACGCTCCAGTGGTCAATGTCTAGGCTAGATATATCAACACTCAAAAGTATAATTGGCAAGTCTGTGATTGGCTATCTAAAAACACTTAAGTGCACATTTTAACTGTTAATATTGCAAGCTTTGCATTTCCACTGCCTATATGAATTATTTAGTCCATCATATTCAGAGCAAGTACCAGCACACCAAGGACCTGGGAAATTACTAAAATATTATTTAAACTGGCATGTATTAGTTATGACCTAAATATTAATAGTATTAGCTAGAGGTCAATTAATTTTCCTTTTAAAGCAAATAGGAAGAAGGCTGAACTTAAAATGAACTGGAGAGGGCCAGCTGTGCCAGACTGCACTGCAGCTGAAGAGCTGGCTATTCAGCAAAATGCCCGTCTCCCAGTGTTAAAGGGCGGAGACAGGCACAAAACTAGTGGGGGAGGGGGTGGGTACTGAATAGGCCATTCTGTACATTGGTGTATGTTACCATATGTATTCATAAAAATGTGATCTTTTTTTAAATGGGTATTGTAAGTATCATTTTTGAAACATAACATCTAAATGCATGAAAATGGCTTATCACTATGAGTAATATACTTGCTTTTTCATTTGTAATGTCCCCAAGAAAATGCATTGTTATTCACATATTTCTTTTTACACATGTCTTATTTCTAGCAGTCTAGCTAGTAAGTGAAGTTTTGGCAGCAGTATGGCAAGTAAAATAAGTAAAAATACAAAAACATGGGATAGAATTCAAGGTGTCATGTAGGAATATCTTATCCACTCGAGAAATGAATGTCTGGTCAGAGCTACAAATGAAAATGAACGTTAAAGCTGATGAAAAAACATTAATTTTGGCGCATAATCTATTATTTTATTAAACCGATCCCTTTGAATCTTTTACTAAATTTTGGGGCATTAATGTTGCATTCAATTTACCTTAGAGGTTGAAAGTCAGAGCTGGGAATGACGTCACACCTGAGTGAATTACAAATGAATTACTGCCTCACGCCGAGGAGTTTAACTATCTTGGGGTCTTTTTCACAAGTGTGGGAAAAAAGGAGCAGGAGATCAGCAGGCGGATCAGTGTAGTGTCAGTAGTAATGCAGATGCTGTACCCTTTCTTTGGTAAAGCGAGAACTGAGCCAGAAGGCAAAGCTTTCCATTTACCAGTCTATCTACATTCCTGCCCTCACCTATGGTGACAAGCTTTGGATAGTGACCAAAAGAATGAGATACTAGTGGCAGAAATCAGTTCCCTCCACGGGGTGTCTGGGCTCAGCCTTAGAGATAGGGAGAGGAACTCGGACACTCAGGGGGGGGCTCAAAGTAGAGCCACTGCTCCTCTTCGTGGAAAGGAACCAGCCCAAGTGGTTTGGACATTTATCTAGGATGCTTCCTGGATGGCTCCCTGGGGAGGTATTTCGGGTATATTCAAGCAGGACACACTGGAGAGATTATATCTCTTGGCTGGCCTGATAATGCCTTGATATTTCCCAGGTGGTGCTGGAGGAGGTGGCTGGTGAGAGGGAGGTCTCTAGCATAACAAGAAATAAAGTATTTTGTTTAATATTCTATGACAGCCTGCTATTGGAAACTTTTTGATTTTGTTGTAATAAATATTTGGGAGTTCAACATAAACCTCACACAAACCTGTCTAGGAGTGATTTAAACAGCAAGAATGAAAATGATTATGATTGTCTCTGAGAATGCATGCAGCACTCATGCAAAAGCATGAGTTAAAACTTCAAAATGATTTTTAAACATATACTAGATAATCGTGTAAAGATTGCAAAATTTGCTATTTTTTTCGTATGACAGAGTAAAAATGTTTTAGCAAGAACTCCCTGAGCTATAATATCCATACCGAATTGAGGGTAAGAAAACCCTAATCTAGCTGACTATGTGCATAACATGTGATGAGCCGGTCCTGCATTGCAATATTTTTTTTTTGTTGGGGGCAGTGGTAGCATAATGGTTAGGGAAGTGCACTTGTAACTGAATCAATCTCTGACCAGCAAGATACCATTGAGGTACCCTGAGCAAGGTACCACCCCCAAGCACTGCTCCCCACGTGCTGAATTTGCTGCCCCCTGCTATGTCATGATATCTCATATGGGTTAAATGCAGAGGACACATTTTGTTGTTGTGCACTGTGTGCTGTGGTGTGTCAACAATGACTAATCACTTCACCTCACCTTAGTATCACGTAGCCATTTTATACTACAGCCATTTTTTAAATTCAGTACAAAATACCCCACTTCGCATTGTGATATCATTCAGCACCAGTAAGAGTTTTTACGCCAGTGAAAAATCAACACCTTGAAGTACCGTACTTTTGGTACCTTCTTGAAGTAACAAAAGTATGGTACGTGGTGCGGTGGAAAAGTGCCCTTTAGTTGAGCAGTGAATTGGACAGCTTTCATATGTGCTGTACTTTTTTTACAAGTGAGATGCATGCTATTCCATGAGGCTATGGTGTTATCTGAAGGCAGACGACACTGCCGTATGGTGCTCAATCCGACCACTGCTTCTATGCTTCTTCTGTGTACTGGCTTCTTCTGTTATTTCTGGGTCAAAGCGCACCGGGGGGATACTGTGGAGCATCCACGGAGTGTCTAAGTCAATTTCAGTCCAATTCAACTTTACTCTACATGAAATTACTAAGAGTAAGCAAACACAAACTTTGATTTTTAAATATTGTTATTATTGATTGTAGTTAACCCCTTCTATATACTGTAAATACAACCCTGTTTCCAAAAAAGGTGGTCAGGTCAGATTGAGAAGCATGCACTGATGCAGTGCAACCACCACATGGTGAAACTCCTCGGGATCCCGGCTGGCAAACCCCTAGGCAGACACGCAGTCCAGTCCCACGCTCCGGAAATGGCCATCCATCTGCTGCAGCCATGTTACATGGACATCCCTTCGGCCTGGTCCAGCCGCTTGGGTCCTCTTGTGAGCATCTTGTGAGCGGGATCACCCTCAGGGAAACGCAGCACATAGCCATAGTGCAGCAACTGACGCTCCCTCACAATGCAGGGGACTCCTCTATTATTTGCTCATTCGACACAAAGTCAAACCAGCGCTACCCAAGGATTCTCCCAAGATACATAGTACCAAAGGGTTCAGTCTTCATCTCAGCTCACTGGATAGCATCCATGTCTCACAGCTATACAGCAAGACAGGGAGCACCAGGACTCTAAAGACTTAGACCTTTGTCCTCTTGCAAAGATATCAGGATTACTACACATCCCTTTTCGGCGACTTCATGACCCCCATGCTCTTCCAATCCATCTGCTGACTTCACAGGAAGAGTCACCAGAGACATGAATGTCACTGCCTAGGTAAGTGAATCTCTCAACGAGGTCGACATTCCCCCCGCAGACAGACACACTACTGATGGTTGTGCCTAAGAAATCATTAAAGGCCTGGATCTTGGTTTTGATCCAGGACACTCACAATCCCAGATGCTCAGACTCCTCACTCCGTCTCGCGAGAGCCCCAATCAGAGCCTCCATCGACTCCGTGACGATCACAGCATAGTCGGCAAAGTCAAGATTAGTAAATCTTCCTTTACCAACAGATGCCCCACAACCACTGGACCCCACGATCCTACCCAACACCCAGTCCATGCAAGCATTGAACAGAGTAGGAGCAAGAACACACCCCTGGCAAACTCCAGAATCAACTGGGAAGAACATGGAAGTTCTCTCTCCACTCTGCATAGCATTCACTGTACCAGTATACAGGCCGGCCATGACGTTCAGTAGCTTCGGGAGGATCCCGCGAAGTCTCAGGATGTCCCACAGGGCAACTTGATCAACTGAGGCAAACGCTTTACGAAAATTGACAAAGGCTGCAAAGAACCTCTGCTAATATTTGCACTTATGCTCAGTGAGAACCCTCAGTGCCAGGATGTGGTCAATGGTAGACGTCTTAGGTGTTAAAACAGATTGTTCCTGCCACTGAAAGGCGAGCAAGTGATCACGGATCCTCTTAAGGATGACCCTAACAAGGACCTAACCCGACACTGAAAGCAGTGTTATCCCCCTGTAGTTGCCGCAATCCAGGCCATCACCCTTCCCTTTCCAGACAGGGACTAGAACTCCCATTTTCCAGTCAGTTGGGATGATGCCTGACTCCCGAATGGAAGCAAAGATTGCCCACAATGCCAGGAGAACAGCCTTACCACCAGCCTTGAGAAGTTCACCCTGGATACCAGAGATCCCTGCAGACATTGTGTAAAATATAGATAAAAACAGGTTGCAATAATTTGCAAATCATATAAACCCATTAGGGCTATCACTATGGATTATGTCAATAATCAAGTAATCTACCGATTCAGCTGACGATTCATCCAGTAATCTTTTACATAATATAATATAATATAATATCCATCCATTGTCCAACCCGCTTATCCTACTGGGTTGTGGGGGGTCCGGAGCCTATCACGGAAGCAATGGGCACGAGGCAGGGAACAACCCTGGATGGGGGGCCAGCCCATTGCAGGGCACACTCACACACCATTCACTCACACATGCACACCTAAGGGCAATTTTAGCAACTCCAATTAGCCTCAGCATGTCTTTGAACTGTGGGGGGAAACCGGAGTACCTGGAGGAAACCCCACGACGACATGGGGAGAACATGCAAACTCCACACACATGTGATCCAGGCGGAGACTCGAACCCAGGTCCCAGAGGTGTAAGGCAACAGTGCTAACCACTGGATTAGCCCCATAATACATAAAATAAAATAAAATAAAATAAAATAGTGTGAGGCAGGAATCAACCAACTACTGGAGGGTGCACACTCAGTAACACATACGGTCAGTTTAAGCATACTAGTTCATTTAAGTTGCATGTCTTTGGACAGTGGAAGTGGAGGATCTACAGAAAAGCCATGCACACGAAGAGTGAACCTCCAAACTCCACACACACATAGTGGTGGTGTGTGGTAACACCGCAACCTAGCACACCATTCTGAATCCGGGGCTAGCCAATCAATCTCCATCCTCAGATTCCGAGACTATCTGGAGCTTGACAGAGACTGTGAGCGAGATACATCTCTGGATGAGGAGTGCAGCCCAGCTGACTCTCCACTACTTGACCTCCCCGTTTGTCCTGTCACCAACCCATTCCAGGGAGCAGTTCAACCTGACAGAACATGGTTGCTGGAACCTAATGGTGAGCCCTTTGCTGAGTTGTTCGCCCAGCCGACATTCACAGTGTCCTTCCTTGGTTCTCTCTTATTCATCCGCTCCTTCTCCTCTGGTCCCATTACCTGTTTGTTTTATCTTCATGTACCGTTGAGTCCTGTGCCAGCAATACATCTCCTTTGTGTCATGTACCTTGCCTTGTTGTTGGTCCTGTCCAATCTTTTGTCCTCGCAGTCTTCATTCCCCTGTCTTGTCCCGAGCCACACTCCAGTCTGCCTTGTGCCCCGGTTATGCCCCAGGTCATGTCTAGTATCATCCTGCTAAATCTGGTTCAGTGTTTTTCCCATCTGGTCTGTCAATGCATCCAGTCCGCACTTCTGTTCTGATGTATGTCCTGTCTGGTCATTGTATCCAGGTCATGATTCTCTGTCAGCATTCAAATTAGGTGTCTTGTCTGTTATGGTGATGTCAGGGATGGTGTTCGGTAGCTTGTCAAGTGTTGTCTACTGTTGGAAGTCTGAGTTCTGTCCAATCTTGTCTCTCCCTATGCATTGTCCCTGTTTTGTTGTCCAGAGTTCATAGTCCTGTCACTTTTTCCAGTCCTGCTTTGTTTTCCCCAGGCCCCTCATGCCATCCCCAGGATCCCCTCCCCACCCTGTCCTTCGTGCCCAGAGGGCATGCTTTTTTTTGGGGGGGGGTACTGTCACACCCTATTCGCTCTGAATGTCTTATCCTTCCATCTCTCCTTTTTGGCGTGGCCAGTTTAGAGCTTATGCTTGTTTGTCCTACTTCTCGTCTCTGCCCTTGCTAATTGCACTCAGTTGCCCTGTGTTCATTGTGTATTTAAGGTCTTCCCGGTCCCCTGTTAATTGGTTCCTGTTGATGCATGTTGTCTGTGCTCTCAGCATTAATAATGGGCCCGCTAGGGGTCTAGCTTGCATTACAGCCTACTTCCAGGTCATGGTTACCTTTATTGGCTTGACAGCAAATTTGAATTTAAGTGGAATGTGCAATAAATTAATAGGTGTAGTTTCAGTGTTATCTCACAACTAGGACTCAGAGCATTCAGATAAAAACACCTTTTGATCCTTCCAGTATTTATAGAAATTGCACAGCTTGGTGAGTGTGCGAGGATTACGAATTAGATGGGTGGAACAGGTGACAGGGCTCTCCGGAGAATACAATGTTGTTGTTTTGACATCGCCCCTTTCAAATAATTTGGTTTATCTGTACCAGTCAGTATTGCTGTCATCATGGCAAATATATTTCCATCAATAGCATGATAAGGCTTAATCATTTTCTCCTCTTTCATTCTCCAAAATCCAGCCCATGCATACACTCCTGTAGAAATGATTTTTAAATTAATCAGTAAATATTAAGAGCTTAATCAATATTATTAATTAGTATCAATATTGGTAATCGTGTTACTTCTACTCACAATGATTACTCGATAAACCATGTATGTGCATGATCTATAAGCAGGGTATTATGTAATCACAGGTATAAAGGGAATATTGTAACGAACAGTTATAATCCTGTGTGTGTGTGTGTTAACCTGACTGTGGTGATGATTTTGTTAAAGATGATTTTATGAAACAAGAATGTAAAAAATATGTGATATGGCTTCATTCCCTAGTAAGAGGTAAGTGACAAAGTGAGGAGGAACTTCCCCTTGATCCATGATCTTTAAGACGTGGTTTTTGTTGGTCAAAAGCACAATGTCATATTGCTGCCTTAAAATAGCAAAACGCTGACAATGCCCCTGGTAATGCCTCATTTAAAAAACACCACACAAAATGATTTGCCATTTTGATGACATACTTGCACGGCATGAAAATGAGCAATGTGTTGGTACGAAACTAGCAACACCACTTTGTGTCATGATTTGTGACGGCCTCATATTTTGCAGCCATACAGCAAAACAGGGAGCACCAGGACTCTAAAGACTTGGACCTTCGCCCTCTTACAAAGACATTAGGAATGCCACACAACCTTTTCCAGCGACCTCATGACCCTCCATGCTCTCCTAATCTGTCTACTGACTTAGGAAGAGTAACCAGAGACATGAATGTCGCAGCGACAATCAGCAAGGAAGGAACACACATTAAACAAGCAATATTAAATCGCTGTATTAGAAATGGTCTCCTGCATCCATGTTTCCTTTTTTGTAACCATGCTCTTTCACTAACCTTGAACATTAACCCGGTGGATGGTTTCCTCTGGGACTCGATGCCATACATCCACCAGGCTAGCAGTATGGATGACCAGGTCTGCTCCCGTGGCTGCCACCAGCACACTGTCATAGTCCGTGATGTCGCCCTGAATCAACACCACTTTCACCCTCTCTAGGAGACGGCAAGGTAGGAATTGTGGGATATGCCATATTGTTAATTAAATTAGAGTGTGATAAACTCCACTGGATATTCATTAGATGACAATCTTGTATTCATAACTCCAAGTCTCTAATTTAAAGAATTAAGACAGTCGTAAGGAGGAGAAGTGAAACACAATTCAGGCTGTGACAAAAGGTTTGCCTTTGTCACAGAAGTGAATTAATGTATATAAACAGTAAAGAAACCACAAATATGACTGACATGTAAATGGTTTATATAGTAAATATTCTTTTTGAACATAAGAATGATACTTAATTGATGAATTAACTGGCATGTCACCCAGGGTCTTCCCTGCCTAATACATCTAGGTTTCATATGACCCTGTACTAGATCAGTGATGTGTTAGATGAAATGAAATAATCCTTTGCCATTTGCGCAAGTAAGAGTACAGGGACATTGGAATGCTTCTTTTCACCGACCCCATCTGGTTCTCCGAGGGGAGAGCAAGCATGGGGGTCACACCACAGGGTCAGCCAGCATGCAGAACCCCTGGGGTTTAAGGGCCTTGCTTAAGGGCCCACAGACATGTGACTACTCTGACAAGACTCGAACTGGCTGAAGAAGCTTAGCCTGCTGAGCCACTCCTCAAAATGGATGGGTGGATGGTTAAATCACTTACCAGTGCTATGGTCCACTAGGTTTGGTCGGGTGACTTGATCAAAAAGGCGAATTTCCACGACTTCATCTTCTCTTTCTAACAGTGTCCGCAGCAGATGCTGGCCAAGGAAACCACAGCCTCCCGTGATCAAATACACTAAACCGGAGTGTCCTTGTTTTGACATCCTTGTTTTTCTTCTTGAACTTCAGCTGGCTGTTCCTTTGATCAGTCCTAAACGCAGTGCTTTTCTTTCTTTCCTAGTGTCTTTCTGTATGTTATTTTGTTTTCAGATGATGGGTCTCAGGAGATCCTTATTTTGAATGTATTCTGGGGATTGGACCAGAAGATGTAGGTACAATGAGAAATTCAGGGAGAACATGTCATAAGCATGTCCTCTTGCATGCTGCATTACTGTGTATCCTTTTATTATGACACATTCAACATCGCAGACATTGCAAAATGTGATGTGTGGGTGTTTTGGGCATGAAAATATATGGTATTTCGTCATTAAAGAAATACTTGAAACATGCTGCAACTTTTAACATTTTTATTAGGTTATGTGTGAAGTCATGTTCCTTAAGTAAGGAAATATGATAGAAAATAGATTAAAAAAAAACATATACTGTACATATGCAAATGCCTACAACGCTTACATTTTATGGTAACAATGAAGAGTCATTCTTACATACATTATAACGCCATATAACTCCCAGATTCCATTAATTATAGTTAATAATTAAGATTTTCAATATACAGTACTGTGAATACTGTAAGTTATAAGCAGTCAGAGAAACTGATATTTTAATTATCTTTATCTTGGAGTAAAACTATGATATGTCTGTCAAAGTCTAAGCCATTTCACAACCACTCCTAAAAATCACCATAATATTTACACTTACAAATACATCAATATATTTTTTGACTCAACTATGACCCCACTTTGATTGGCTAATCAATGCCTCATTGAGTTAGCTAATTAATTTAACTAATTGATTGATTGAGCTGATGGTGAATTTTAGTAAATACATGGAATAGCTGAGGTGCCCCTAAGGTTTGAAGCGGTGTTCAGGTAGCCATCCAACAATATTGGTAACTTTTTGGGGGCCAGAAGAAATTCTTGTTAGTTTTTATTGTGTTACTCAATTTGCATGTGATATGTTTCGTTAAATTATGTGAATTTCTGAGCAAATATACATTTATTGCTCAGATAAATAACTGTTAACATTTTCTTTGACTGCCTGTTCTCTTCAAAAATGCTTTTCTGGTACTGTAGATTGAGAAGAGGAATTCAACAATGCAACAATTTCTGCAACAGTCTCGTCAGTGCCTGCAGCATCTCACCATTATTCCCCGTTGCCACTATTATATAGCTGCTCTCATTTTCATCCTACTTTCCTTTTCCTTTGAAAACATTCATCAGCTTTTGAACAGACAGCCACCAGATATCACCTTACCCTTAATAAGGGTATTTCCTGAGGCTTCCTTTTAGCTCAGTACTTTCAGCGTCTAAAACGCATCAGCATAATACAACTGATACTCCAAGAAAGCAAAACTAAAATCTGTTCCATTTCTTTTTCATTTATCATCTCTGGAACCAGTAAAAGTTATATAAATTACATCATTTAACAGTGACGTCAAACATACCTCGTTACATTGTTCAACATAACATATTACTACATTAAAACAGCAATACTGAGTACAACTTACGTGCCTATAAACAAATTGTTAAAGATTAATGTTACATTCTGATCATTTAAATTGTATGCAATTTTATGTAAATATAATTACGTAATACTTTCTACATGTAGTATCTCTAAATATCCATGCCTGCACTAAAAGCTTCAAAGTACTGGCTTGATGACCAATAGTCGTACAATACCACACTTAAAAGTATGTATCTTAAAAGCATGCTTACCTTTGCTCTGGACACTGCTGCTGAATAGTCAGATACTCTAAGCACTGCGGTATTCTGCTCACGTCGTTTTCTCGTACTTCACTCCTACAGTACGTGCTGCCTGGAGGCATGCAGTTTTACATGTGTCATGTAGGACTCAGTTCTAACTCAATAAATAAGTCAATATGTTCGTTCTTTAATATGATATCACTAGATGAAATCACTTGCTCTGTACTATCTCTTCCCAGAATTTCAGCTGAATTTACAGCAAACCCCTTCTATTTGTTATTATCTCTGTGTTGAGCACAGCGCTGTTCAACTCTTGTTCCTCTTTCCCTTGCAGGCTATGGGTTTTGTTGCAGGGTCCTAAAGACCACTGTTTCTTAATCAATCTCTTGATTGAGTTGCAAATGGAATTATACTAGTAATAAACTAGTAAATATATTACATTATACTATGATTTATGTAGCAGTTAAATGTAGTCTTTCAGTATTTATCGGGTCATCTGAAGAAACATATTACCAAATTCGTACTTGTAATGAGAGAGTGCAACTATACATGGTGGTATAGCTCAGTGGGTGAGCATTTGGTACCTGCGCACCCCCTCCTTCTGTGGTGTTTATGTGGCTTAGTTGGTTAGGACGCTGTGTTTTTGATCAAAAGTTTGCCGATTCTAATCCTATGATCAGCAGAAAGATTTCACTGTTGAGCCCTTGATTAAAGTCCTTAACCTCCAATTGCAACAGGGGCTGCTTTTTCAAAATATATGTTACGTTGGATAAAAGTGCCTGCTGCAAATAAATATAGGATAAGATAGGTGAAAAGACAATATCTCCCCGGGGGTGAGAAAAGTATCACTATTCTATTTTTAAGTCTCTTAATTAGTACTGTATTTTTCTGCATAGTGTCTATGCTTCTTGAATCCAAATGTACCTCCACACGTCTGCACATCTAAGCAGTTTAAAAGTCCACCGTGCTCATCATATTTTTGCTGCTAGCTTCTGCTAACTGCTAAGATTGTGGAACTCACAAAATGAGTTATAGCACAAAGTAAATAAATAATCACTGTAGGGAACACAGTTACAGAACAAATCTGCAATCCTCTCGAAACCAAAAATAAAACTTTCTGCTCCATTAAATAAGGAGAAACAGAAACAATATGGAATTTGGCTGCAGCATGACGTGGCCATGCAGTCTTCTGGCTGATTCAGCACTAAGGTTTATAGTCAAGTTTATCCTTCAACCTCTGGAATGAAGTATTCAGTATCTTTGACACAATAATATAGGGTTGCTAGTATAACTATTAAAGCAATTTTCAGGATGAAAAAAATAGCCAGATAATTCTATTTTATTTTTTAAATTGTTGTTTTACAGAAGGGGGTGGCATGCTGGTTAGCAGTGGTGCCTCATACCTGTAGGACCAGGGTTTAAGCCATGGCTTCATGTGTGTAGAATATGCATGTTCTACCCATGTCATCGTGGGGTTTCCTCAGGGTACTCCAGTTTCCCCCCACAGTCCAAAAACATGCTGAGGTTAACTGGAGTTACCAAAATGTGTGTGAGTGAATGGTGTGTGTGTGTACCCTGCGATGTTTATTTTTGCGTGTATTTTTCTTTGAATTAATTTACTTTTAACAACTACAGCCACAATATTTGATCCATGTCATTCACAACTGAACTTAACTGTACTATCATTGTCAGTAGAGTACAGCACACCAAAGTACATAATAACAGCAATAAAAAATTTTAACGGCACAAAAAAATTTAACTACGTAGACAACTTGCCCATGGTAGAAGAACAAAAATTTAAGGAAAAAAACGATTATTTTATTTTATTATTACTACTACTGCAATTGAGCACACACTTCTTAAGCTTTGTCTAAACTATATATATATTAAATTTATGAACTGAAATCAAACATTCTGTTATTGATAGCCATTATGGAAAGTAAACTCAATGTAGCAAGACAGGGCTTTCAATAGCAGCGCCACAACAGCAACGCGGGTGGTGCGGATCCCCGCGCGGATACGCGCAGCAGTAGTTCAGCAACGTAAACGGCAGGCATCCAGTATTTTTCCACACTTAACGCATAGCACTCGACTTCTTAAAACAGAACAACTACTGTACAAGAACACCATACCCAAAAAAAGAAAAGTGGAAGATATTTTTGTCTTTAGGTTGTGATGGATTTATATTAAAGCTTACCATTTTCACATATTTCTACGGAAAAACTGCTGACATTTTGCATGTGGCTTTGCAGACCGGCTGATGAGCTGATCTCTTAACGAAAACGTAAACTACTAACCGTTTAGAAGCGTAATACAATGTAAGGTTTTGGATAATCCTATATGTCAATTAATGTAAGATAGTCACTTCACAATCGATAAAAAAAAACTTTTTATTGGCCAAATGAAGTAACCGCAACTAACGACTGTCAGACAGCGTACTTAACTTTTCGTCATAAAAAAAGGTTGCAAATACAAATTGTTTAGAAATACCAGGTTTGCTTAAATAGGTTACAAAATGTTTCACTTAACGGGGGCTGTACGTTGGGCAATGAAAGGAAGATGAAGACACTTTTGACTCGTTGTATTTTAAAATTACTTGAAGCACTCATACATCTATACGATCAATGCAAACGTTACCAAAGTCATATTTACCGGCAATTAGGTAAAACTTTTGGCAATGGATTGCACTGGAAAGCAACATTAGACAACATTTTATTGTCAAAACTACTTAAAGTCAAAACACCAGTAACATGCAAATATAGAAACAGGAACTGAAATATGATACAACTAAAGTAATAGCACTTAAAATAGCAATGTTTACGGCTGCGGTACACTTAAAACTAGGTAAAATTATCCATACTTATATGTATATATTCTAAAATTAGGATTTTTCTGAGTAGACTGCTTAAGTTATAAGGTCTGAATACATAGTTAAGTGAATTTGAAGACTGAATACCATTTTATAAGGATATTTGTGCTTCACCATCACACTTTTGGGCATCATACATCCCTTATTCTTCACCTTCTCCTATAGCGTTTAATAGCTGTCATCTTGTGCCTGGTGATTCACCCCCCCCCCTAAATAGATATGCTACTTGGGTCTTAAATAAATGTATAATAATAATAATAATAATACATTATTATTATTATTATTATTATTATTTTGTGGACTAGGGACTATTTTGTGCTCTGGGAGAAGGCGAAACACAAACGTAAGCATATTTTCTTGACGGACTCTTAACGCTTCTGCGCCGGGTGGTCGAGTCGCTTCAGTTAGTGAAAAGCGAAGTTAACGACAGAAAAAAAAGCTTATGAAAGCGAGGCAGTTTTAACAAGAAATCGGAGTGAGTTGCATAATTGTTATATTTTACTATATTCTTCCTAGTAAAAGCCGTATTTGAAGATATCTGATAGCTTTGTCCTAGTCACATTTCTATTGAAGATGGCTGTTTTTGGCAAGCCAAATTGTCTTTTATTAGTATAAAGCTTCTTCGTCATAACTTAATTCTTACTAGAATTAACTTACTAGAATAAATTTACTAGAATTAATTTACTAAAAATAACATTACTAGTAAAAATGCAAATTATACTAGTAAGAATATGAATTTAAGTTACCCATTGACTTGCATTGTATTTTTGCCTCACATATCCTAAATTCAGCTTTTACTAGTAAAAAGACATACTGTCGGCAGGATAGTAATTTTAAAAGATATCTGCATTGGAATTCTTACGAGTACAAACTTGCATGTCAGATATCTCTAATTCAGTTCTTCCAAGTAAAAATGAGCATTTGAGGCATCTGTAATTAAATTCTTACTAGTAGGAATGACATCACTTTTGCTATTCATCTGTATTGTGGTTTTCATTTGAAAGGGCAACCATTCCCTCCAATGAAAATTCTAGACCAGGGGTGTCAAACTGCAGTCCTGGAGGGCCGCAAACCTGTGTAGCTTAGTTCTTTCCCTGTTCCACCACAAATGATTCAGCTCAACAGCTATGTGGTAATTAGCACAAGAAGTTGAATCAGGTGTGTTAGACGAGGGGAAACCCAAAAATGTGCAGGACTCCGGCCCAAAAAGGACTGGAGTCTGACACCTGTGTTCTAGCCTGTTAGTGTTGTAGTCAAGACCGCCTAAACCGAGACCAAGACATTGCAGAGACCGGAGGGTATCAAGACCAAGACACTGCCGAGACTTGAGGGTATCAAGACCAAGACCAAGTCCAAGACCAAGACCAAGACACACTAAGGCGAGACCAAGACCAAGACCGACAACAGACTAGGGCTAGAATCGACATCACATTACCCAGATCAACTGTAGAGAAAAAAGGCATTGCTGTAAAGTGTCATTACTCGTTCAATCAAATTCATGTTATCTTTTCAATTATATTGTCCGTATGTCCATATGTCTCTCATTTAAAATCTCCCAGATTTGTCATAGTTACGAGACCTGATAGAAAATAATATTCTCAGCAATCCTCTCCTATAAGCATTTTATCAGACCTCGTCAAAGGAAAGAGATGGGATGTACCAGAAAGATGTTCATATTAAGTCTCTTATACCAGGGACAGAGGCCTCGGGTAAGCTATGAATACAGCTATGTAATGATCCTTTGCTTTGAATTGAAGAGAATGAGCCTCCAGATTGACTTGCACCTCCAAGACCGTGCTTTCTAATCAATGTAAAATACCTAATTTATTTGAATTATAACTATGCTATAGACTTCGCGGACATTTTCGGACATTTTTTTGCCGATGTATGATACGATGTGTATGACGTGTGTGGACTGTGAAGCACTGGCAGTGTCCGTGGAGAAAATGTATAAAATGTAACGTTTTTGAAATGGATGCATCTGACTGGTTGCATTTGAATTGAGGCGCGTAATAAATAATGATACTGTTCTGTGAGGATGTTCAGTTTTCTCTTTTTTTCCCCATCCCATCGAGACCGCTATGTCCGAGACCAAGACAAGACCGAGACCAAATAGAGTCGAGACCAAGACAAGACCGAGACCAAATAGAGTCGAGACCAAGACAAGACCGAGACCAAATAGAGTCGAGAACAAGACAAGACCGAGACCACAAAAAATTGGTCTCGAGATCAAGACCGGTCTCGAGAACTACAACACTATAGCCTGTGGCTGGTTAACAAGAGGACAGGAACAAGAGGTAAGACTAACAAACTTCAGGTACGTCTGTTCAGAAACCATACCCCAGGGAAACGCAGGGATCGAACAAGTGGGGCAGGGCTGGATGTGACAGTATCTACTAATGTACTAACTATGTACTAATGCAGTTTTAGATAATTACATTATATTACATTATTTAGCTATATAATGGAATGCAAGGTAGTGCAACAAGCTAATCAGTAGTATGTACTCAGGTAAAAGAAGCTTGGGAGGTGTTGGCCTGGATCTCATTGGTCCCCCACCCAAAACATCACAGTGTAATTGGTATGTCCTGACCAAGACCAACTTCTACTTTATTTGGGTCATTGCAGAGGCTCTGCAGTCTAACACTGCACATGAGGTGTTGTACATGTTTGGCATAGTCAGGAAAATCATCACAGATCAAGGCAA